GGGTTGGGGTGGGGGATATAAAATACAGTTTGTACAGTATAAACATCATCACATCAGTAGAAAAAACCCTTAATCCTGAAAGACCCTAATGTAATTGTTTTTTTTTGTTGTTTTTTTTACATTTTATTAAGTTTTTAGGTTGCAATATTGCAATTTTGGGCCTTACGCAGAACTATGACCAGTTTTGTTTACCCAATTCTCACACTGTATAACTAATGTCTTTGGACTGTGGGTAAGTAAGTAAGTAAGTAAGTAAGTAAGTAAGTAAGTAATGTGTATTTATATAGCGCATTTATTGGGTTTGGCCATACACCAAAAAGCGCTTCACAATCAGGAGAGGTGGGTCTCCCCACTTCCCCACCAGTGTGCAGCATCCACTTGGAAAATGCGACGGCAGCCACAGGACAACAGTGCCAGTGCGCTCACCACACACCAGCTATAGATGGAGTGGCGAGACAGTGATAGAGCCAGTTCAGTGAATGGGGATGATTGGGAGGCCATGATGGGTAAGAGCCAATGGAGGAAGATTGGCCAGGATCTTTACGAGAAGTGGCATGGTATTTTTAATGACCACAGAGAGTCAGGACCTTAGTTCAACGTCTCATCTGAAAGACAGCGGTCACTGACAGTGTAGTGGCCCCTACACTTTACTGGGGCATTAGGACTCACACAGACCGCAGGTCTTGACTCCCTGCTTGATTCACTCACATCACTTTCAACCTAGTTTTCCCATGTGGTCTCCCATCCAGGTACTAACCAGGCTCAGTCCTGCTTAGCTTTAGTGAGTCTTGGGCTGCAGGGTGATATGGCTGTGGCTAACTGGAAAAACACATTATTGTGTTATATATAAGATAGCTGTACAAGTGTGCATGTGCATGCGTGTGTGTGTGTGTGCGTGGGTTTGTGTGTGTGTGTGTGTGTGTGTGTGTGTGTGTGTGTGTGTGTGTGTGTGTGTGTGTGTGTGTGTGTGTGTGTGTGTGTGTGTGTGTGTGTTGATGTACATGACAAATGAGCAGGTTTAGGACTGAATTCAACTGAGCTGATTGTAACTCACACTATAACTTGAAATGCTTCAATCAGCAGGCAGAGGTTTGCTCTGCTTCTCTCACTTCATCTGTTTATGTGCAAGCACGTCATTGGTCTGGGTTGTTGACATGAATTACTGTGCCCGCTGCTGTTGTTACAAGTTCTCTGGTATTTTCTCACCCATCAGAGAGTTTGCTTTGTTGTCATCTATGTTATGCCATGCACAAGTACTTGTTTGAGATTTTCCAGAGTTATTAATTTCCCTTTATTAGTTGATTGATTTGTTGCATGTGGTTCAGTCTGTTATTTCTTTATTGTTGATGGCTCACAAGTATTCACAAAAACGATCCATATATTGAAAAATTTTTAAATGAATTTTTCAACCCAGGCTCATTCTGGAAGCCCTGTGGAAGTTTCTAAAGGCCGCGAAATACGTCCCGGGAGGTACGTATTTGTGCAGTTTTTGTTTTCGTGAATCCGCTTTTCCTGCCGCGCTGTTCTCGCCTAAAAAGCCGCTGGAGGCCGCTGTCGAGCGACCTTCTGTCCGACTGACTGAATGACTGAACGATTGACTGGGTGGCCAGCCAATCGGCCGACCAAGCCACCCTCCCCCTCCTCCTCCTTCCCTAAACCCAAGCAACGATTTACAAAAGCCGTCCAGAAAAAGAAAAGCCCTCGTTTTCGCCTCGTTACAAACTTGTTCGCTTTATTTTTTTGGATTCTGTTTTTTGTCTTACCTGATTTCTTACTGCTCTTCCCCAGAATCGAACCCGGTCATTGCCGCAGCGGCTCCTCCTCCTCCGGGCACTTCGCCGACGTAATACGATGAGCTAACCAGACAAACTGGCTGCAGCGGGAAAGCCCTCCACACGGAGGTGAGCCGACAGCCGGCGAGCGCAAAAAGGAGCGGTGTCACACCGCCCTTTAGCGTTCGCCTGAAAAAACAAAATGCAGCCAAACGTACCTCTGGCAACGTAAATCGCGGACTCCAGAAACGTCCACGGGGCTACGTTTTCAGAATGAGCTTGGGTTGGAACTTTTATATCATCAGGACAGAAAGACGTTTGATCTTTAGCAGGTCTTAAAACTTAAAAAAAAAAAAAAAAAAAAAAAAAAAAAAAAAAAAAATATATATATATATATATATATATATATATATATATATATATATATATATATATATATATATATATATATATATATATATATATATATATATATATATATAAAACCTCAGTTGAACAATAAAATAGCATTAACAAAATAAGTCAGGCTGTGGTAATAAATGCCTTAACAGCAGAACTTTTAGGATTTTTGCTGTGTGCTAATATATTGTCTGTCCGACAGCAAAAGTTTAACAAAATTTGGTTCCTCTCCAAAAAGACAATGCATCTCATTCACTAAACATCTGTGTGCATTTTTTTTTTTTTTTGGTCTGTGAAATTTTCATATAGATGTTTTCACAAATAGGTTATGATTTATCAAAAACTTGCATACTAAAATATAAAATTGCTGCTATTGCAGTCCATGATCTAACAGTGAGTTTTTACATGCACATTGCGTACTTACAGAGCTAGCTATTTCAATTCATTCATAGTAAAGTGGAATGTAATGCACTGTGTTACTGTTGATGCCAGCTGATGCCACTCACGACACGTCAGAGTCATGTTGTGACTCACAACTTTTTACACACTCTCAGAAAAAAAGGTACACGGTGGTACTAATAATGTTCCTTGAGGAACAGTTGTACCTCTGTAAAAATTGGACCTTATATGGTACAGAAAAGACATCTTATGATACTGTTCTGTGCCTTTTATGGTACAACTAAAATGAAGGTACACAATTGTTCTCAAATAAAAAGGTACAAAAACTCCTTTATTACAATACCTATAAAAATAAATATGACTGAAAAGACAAAGTGATTTTATGACAAATGTCCATATTAAAACTAGAATAATCATTTAAAAGCAAATGTTTAAAGAAACTTGTAAACAATAACTATTATGTTCTATAGTAAACGTTACGTTCTAGTAAAACGTAAAATCATAGGTATTGTAAACTAAACATTTAAGGCATTTTAAATAAATATTTGGTAAGCATTTTTTGACACTATTAAAGTACAAAGTGTCTTGTCACTGTAGGGGTACCTTCATGAATCAGATTTGTACCTTTGATGAATACAGACAGGTTTTAAAAACCAAAGGTACATTTTGTTTTCCCATGGTACAAATCATGTCCTTAGAGGTAAAAACTGCAATGTTACAAATTTGTTTCTTTGTCTTATGGTACAATTCTGTCACATAAAAAGGTACTGCCCCAGTGACAAAAGGTTTGTACCTTTTGTGGTACAACATGGTACCATTTTTCTGAGAGTGAGGAGTGCACAGATATGCTTGCTGAGAGGGATGACTGACTGTTCAGTGACTAAAAGGTTGTCCAGAGAAGTACTTACTAATAGAGTTATTTTATTCAGTTCCATAATTGTCTTTTTCTGAGTACCAGAATATTGGAAAGCCCTTATGTGGAACTGGTTTTGGGCAGGTGTTTTGCAAATTGTTAACCTTGTATGGGCGCTCATTTATTATACTCCAAATTCATAAACAGAAGTTTAAGAAGAAGCTCATGTCTTCACCTTGGAATTATAAGGTTCCATCAGCATTCTAAATGATTCAAAATGAAGTTTTTGCATTTCATATAGCAAACAATACATGTGTAACAGTTCTCTTTCATACATTAACATGACAGAGACCCTAAATGTACTCTAAATGAATTATTGAATTATATTTATTGAATTATATGCCCCGTGAATTAAAATAAATAGTTGGGTTTCAAGGCTTAATATCAAATTTGAAGATGTTAAAAAGAAACGCAATGAGCAAATGAGTTGTTTAACAAAGTTTAATAAACACTGAAAAATGTGACTCTATATATGCACAAATAAAAATATATTTTACATTTAATAAATTATTATTTTTAATAGCTGTTTCTTTTCCAACAATGTCAAAGTTAACCCTTTATCTTATTGTCCAAAATACTTCTAAATCAGCGCATTTACACACATCAATTTTGTGGTCTTTCTCGCTGTCAACAGAGCAATCTTGCAGAATGACAAATAAAGCTGATCCTAATTGGTTGGTGCATTCGAAATGCTGATTGGCTCACAGAAAAAAAATAAAATAAAAAACCTTATAGAGCCAAGCTAAAGCTTGACTTTGTAGATAAAACCTTTTTTGTTTTTTAAATAAAAAGTCTTAAAATGTAAACAACTTAAAAAAAAACATCCCATAATGTAAATAAGTTGTCATTTAATAAGAATATGTCAATAATTCAATTTTGACAAAAAATGTCAGATAGAACCTTAATTCTAAGGTGACTGTGCATACATGCATTATGAATAAGACAGAAAGTTTACATGAGAAGTTCAAATTAGTGTAAAAAAAAATAATATGTGTGGTTAAATAGGGTGTCTTAACGTTTTCAAATGGCTATTTTTTTTTATAAAATTTAATGACTTATAGATATTTCAAAAGAGCATACATGTACATACATACATGAATACATATACTTACTTCAGCGCCACCCCAAACGAACCTCAGCTCTGCCCCAAACAGTTTGTAACGTGACTACCACCATCAGTTCAAATGGCCTGTTTACTGTCATTATCCAGTCTGCTTTAGATGGGGGAAACCATACTGGTTAGATTACCCTGCACCTCACTGAGCTCGTTGTCATTTCAGCAGGTCACATTCGTTTACATTTCTTGTTTTTATCATTATTCATATTTTCTCCTGAGCCTGTTTTTAATTTTTTATAAATCTTAAAAATACTGGATATTGGGTTGAATATCACTGACGTCAGTGCATAGCAAATCATATTAAACATGATTTTAAAAATTTACTATTCAAAACATGAAAAAAACTCTTTTTCTCACTAAGCCTTATCACTTTTGTGTTTGTTTTTTGTTTTTTTTCCAGAATGTGCTCATCTGAAACAGGAAGTGGATGGGCTTCAGGTGAACCTGAAGACGTTGGAGGTGGAGGTGCCAAAACTAAAGTCATTCCTGGAACCAGCAAGAGAACAGATTCTGCAATTGAAGAACCAAGTCCAGACCCACAAACAACTACAAAACCAATACCAAGATGCCTGTTTGCTCATAAAGGGTGTGTATACCAACAGTTTAAAAGTGATGTCATCTTTATGGCTTTAGGAAAAAAAAACAATTGAAATATTTTTACTGAATAAAATGTCTTGACATAGAACTTATTTTTTAAGTTCCGGCATGTTTTAAAAGATGATATCAAAGGATTGAAAGGATGAAAGGATTTTTTGCTTCTGATTATTTCTAATGTTTATCACCGCATAATTTGCAATCAGACTGCTAATGTGTGTGTGTACACCAGTGGGCAAATGCTGGGTGTAACAAGCCGAGCACACAGAACTTGCAGATCAAAAAGGATTCAACGGTGAATGTCAGCTATAAGAATAAGTGAAAAGTACTGTATAAAACAGGTCATTTATATAAAATAGATCAAGATATAGCAATGGGAATACAACTAAATTTTAATATTTTTATTTTTTATTTTTATTTTTATAAAGAATTTTAGAAAACCATTTAGTCACACTTCATTTTGATGTTCCGTTGGTGAATTTGTTGCATCTACATGCCAACTAAATCTCAGTAGATTATAAGTAGACTGTTAGGTTGGGGTTAGGGTTAGTGTAAGTTGTTATGTACTTGCAATGTTTCTTATAGTCAGTTAAATGTCTGTTTATCAGCAGTATCAACAGATATTAAGCAGACAGGCTACTAAAACTCAAACAGACCATTAAAAAAAAGTGTTGCCAACCATTTCAGACAAAATTAATGAGTAAATAAAATGTAAGCTTACAAGAACTACAGAAAAGTTTAACAGTCTTTTAAACAGCATAACACTTTTCCTTTAAGTCGTTCCCCTTAACTCATAATTGGAGTGGGTTTTTATATTCTATAATGTCATGATTAATAACTGTATTAAAGCACTATTCAAACTTCATTAAATATATATGCAAATGCATAAATGCTAAAGCTTAACAACAACAAACTGGAATTATATTACAATAATACATTACTATATGTCTGCAGAAGCGTAATGATATAATATAATTCATATGTAAATATCCCAATCCTGCCACAACACCATCATATTGCAACTGCTACTGCAGTAAATTATGGTAACTCTGTGAGAGGCTTGTAACTGTTCATGGCTCAGTGTTGCTCATGTTTGCCAATGCTGTTGAGAACATCAGGGGGGTATTCCAGAAAGCTGGGTTAACTTACCATCTGCTAAAACCTAAACTCTCGGTTGATTTACCCAAAACCTGCTTACCGCGAGTATGTTGGTTCCAAAACAGGTGACAAGAGTTAGTTAAATCAACCTCCTGAAGATAACCGCGGGTTAATGCGCGTGCACGGCACACACCTGAAGGCATTTTCAGTAGATCGCCGAATTCACGAGTCACCATAGAAAGTCACGGTGAGGAAAAAAAGGGCAACGCACTTTACAGAGGCGAAGCTGGAGGTTTTAAACACAGAGATTACACATCTGCTTCAACGAAGGAATGAAATATAGAATAAGAAATAGATAAGAAATAAAAAATAAATAATAAGAGAATTTATTAGTTCATTAAATTACACATGCCACCCTTCATTTTATTGTAATGATAAATTAAACTACTCTTTAACACCCTTTTTGAGTATGTTGTGTAACCATTCATGCATTTATTTTTCTTGCCATTAATTTCTTAAGGCCACAATATGTGTATTGACTAATAAGGCTCATAGAAATTGTAATCTTTCTGGAGCTAGAACTCTGTCCAAAGTCATTAAACACAGAAACATTATCATAAAAGGTAATATTTAATTACTGGAGCACTTTATTTAACACTCTAGAATATTCTTTCTGACATGCAGATAATAGTAAGAGGCCTTTCTAACTGCTGTGTCCTATAATAAAGGCTTTTCAGTGGTTGAGTTTTTGACTTAAACCACACACTCTGTCACTGTTGTAAGTGATTGTTGTCAGGTAGCTTTAGGTTCTTTTTATTTTGCATGCAGACGAAGTTCCTTCTGCCTCAACTAACAAGCAGTGTAAGAATTTTCTGCACTTTTCCATATTTGAATATTACTCTTGGATCACAAAATCTTTTATCTACATATTTAAATTCTAAAGTAGCTGTATAAGGTCCATCTTCAAAGATAAAGTCACATGAGCATCACCTTAAGGTGAGAAATGTATATGAAAAATATGTTACACGTTGAAAGGTGCGTGTATAAAGCAGTGTACAAAATCATTCATTTTATTTCAGGAAATGAAGAAATGAACAGACCAAACTATTTGATTAAACATAGTTTTTTGACTAATTATATATTTTTAGCACTCTTCCATCTGTTTTGTCTGCTTGGGTCACTGAGATTTCCTCTGGGTCAGGCTGCAGGTACGTGTCATCGTATAAGGCAGAAAAGGGTATCTTTTGTCCTCCAGCAAGTAACAATGTAGTGCTCAGTAATGATTCTATTTTATAATACAAATATAATAAAAATAAACATTGTGTTAAGCAACATTTGCTTTATAGTTTTTTTTACTATATTTGTGTTATACACTTGAATCATTACTTCCTGAAAATCAGCCATTTAGCCTCAACATAGTGATGAGGTGGGGTGTGTGATGAGCTGGTAAGTGGAAGCAGTAATGAGTTTAATAGTTAAAACACCAAAAGATTAAGGATAGAAAATTAAGTTGTACCTGCACACTTATACTTTGGACAAATTTTATATCATCAGTTTCCTTTAGTGACTGATGGAGCTTTAAAATCGGCTGCAATTAATGCACACAATAGCATTTAGAAGCCCTGAAAAAAATATTATATTAAAAAATGTAGGCTAGGTGTGTGCGTGAATGTATATATATAAGAACGACGTCCTACATCTTAAATTATAGATATATTTTCCTACAAAAGACAAAGCTGCCACTTATAATATTATACAGAAAAATGTGAGTGTGCAGAAGGAGAGAAAAAACACAAGATCTGTAAGTGAGCTTCGAACTCGCTCCGTTGAGCGCTCTGTTGTTCTTTATCGACGCACTGTCCACTACACTATTGCCGTGCTCTAAATCTTCTGTGTAATGATACGCAGTGATTTATGACCAAGGAACTGTACGAAAGTGTAAAAAACAGTTCAGTGCCAGGCATACTGTACAGGTGGTCATACTGCCACATTGTACAGTTGCCTAAAATGCCCTGACGCGAATACAAAGAGCTGCACTAAATGTTTTTTATGGTAAGCGCAGACCCGCGGTTTGTCACATTTGATTTCAAAAAGGTTTGTTAAATACATTAACTTTATGAATTTGGTTATGAAAAAAACTATGCACTTATAACCCTCTCACAATGAAAAAACTTGTATCTGTGTGTCCACATCCATAAATATTCTCATCAAAAGAGCACGCAATGCTCAGTAAACTCTCTGAAACAGACAAACTCTGAAACATAGCAACTTACTCTCTGAACATAACCTGCTCCGGAGCAGGTTATCTTCAGAGAGTAAGTTGCTATGGCTACTTAACATACCCAGAAGTTACCTCCGATTTTGGAACCAAAGTTGAGGTTATCCACCTACTTACTCTCAAACTTACCCGGGTATGTCACATAACCTGCTTTCTGGAACAGCCCCCAGTACTGTTTTATCCAGCATTAATTGAAAAGGTCACAGACACATTCGTATTTACCACTTCATTCAAACTGTTTTCTTTGAAGCTATAGTTGTGGGACCAAATTAAGACTTATCCGCATGTAAACAAACATACACCATGTTGCTGTAAGGCGCGATTTGCATAAATGGATTTTGTGTGGCTCAAATTAGCAGTGGCGTTTACTTACAATTTGAAACATTATGCTAAACCTTCAGTGAAAACGTTACAATATTATCAAGAAAATATTGCAGTAATTCCTGTTATTGCTTTATTGGGCAACCTGCATTATATTATATTTACTATATAAAAAATACTCATTATATAGTTGATAGAGATTATTATATAGTTGTTATAGACATGATATAGTTGTTTTTACTTTTATTGCCTTTTTGCCCTCTATGTTTGTTTGGTGTTCATCCTCAAACATTGATGTACATTTGATGATTTGTGTGTGTATTCATGTTGAACAGGTGTTTTGGAGTTGCAGTCTCACATCTTGTTTATATCCAAACTTGCCCATGATGTGTTTCACTTGCTTTTTCAGTTCATGATTGTGTGTTTGTGTATTGTTGAGTGTGCGTGTGTGTGTGTGTGTGTTTGTGGTGGACAGGTGTTTAGGGGAAAAGGTCTCAGCCCTCCTGCTTGTTTCTAAATGGAGCCTTTGAAACTCTCAGTGGTGTAGTTAAAACTTGTGAAATGCTTCCCTTGTCAGCAAGCCAACGGCCCCTAACCTCCATGAGCATCCTAATGGGAGATGTTCCTGAAACAGCTCAATGTTTAAAGAAGACAGACAAATTGAGTAACTATTCAGTTGATTAGATGGATTAAATAGCTGCCTGAGGCATTTCTGCCACAAGACAAAAACACCAAGTGATCACACTTTCTAATGTAGAATTTGAAATCTTATAAGTTTCTCGAATTCTGCTCAAAGATTTGAAAGAAGTCTCTTATGCATACCAATTTATACAAAACAGGTGTAAAAATATATTTATATAGTATATATATACTCACCGGCCACTTTATTAGGTACACCTGTCCAACAGCTTGTTAACCCAAATTTCTTATCAGCCAATAGCATAGCAGCAACTCAATGCATTTAGGCATGTAGACATGGTCAAGATGATCTGCTGCAGTTCAAACCGAGCATCAGAATGGGAAAGATCTGTGATTTAAGTGACTTTGAACGTGGCATGGTTGTTGGTGCCAGATGGGCTGGTCTGAGTATTTCAGAAACTGCTGATCTACTGGGATTTTCATGCACATCACCATCTCTAGGGTTTACAGAGCATGGTCCAAAAAAGAGAAAATATCCAGTGAGCGGCAGTTCTGTGGGCGCAAAAGCATTGTTAATGACAGAGGTCAGAGGAGAATGGCCAGACTGGTTCGAGCTGGTAGAAAGGCAACAGTAACTGAAATAACCACTTGTTACA